CACATTTTCTCAAATTGAAGCTTTTACAATATTTCGCGGCGCCCCTGTAAAGAGGCCGCGGCTCCCCGGGACGCCGCAGAGCACAGTTTGGGAATCACTGTTATAGGTCATTCATGAAAGGTTATGTATGTTTGGACACATCTGTTTCACTTTAACAAATCTGCGAGAAAGTATGCAGGGGTAAAAGGTAGCCAACCAAATTATTGGATTCTTATTCATATTGAGATAGAATTATGATTCGTTTATGGGAGCCATCATTCTTGGCTTTTAATATAGTAGATCTTATTACCTAATAATTTTTCGCTCTCATATTTGTCACATGGCAGGCCAAAGTTCTGCACAAATTCAACGGGATTGTAAGATAATATCAAGAAATCTTTATTTCAAATTAACTGTTCCGCTTCTAAGGCCAATTAAAAACTTACTTTACACAACTTTTTATATTAACTTAAAGGTATAGTGATATCAAATTAACTGATTCTCCCCTTATTTGAATATAGCTTCCCTTTAGCTCAGTCTGCGTTTTACGCTGATCAAATGCATTATTATTCTAAAAACAGCAGATTTTATAGCGTTTTAATGGTTTTTCCTGTTATCTATTATTAAATTCATTTATTTTTTATAGCCAAGGTGTTTCAGACAATGCATATTCGAGAAATGAAAAAAAAGGTTTCAAAGAATCCTTTAATAAATTTATTGTCTTTGGCATTCATTTTATTTCGTCTGGAGAGGTCACTAATTTGGTTTGTTTAAACCAAATGAAGGGTCCGTCAACGTCAATGCATATTCTAGTCGATATTTAGGGATACCATCTAAGCTGAAATTAAAAAATCTGTATCTAACTGTGTGCGTAGTACAATTTGTTCATGTTACTAACAAGCATAATTGCTTAGGAGCTCCATCATCTGGGATCTAATCAAGTTCAGTCAAATGTTGCAAATGAAGACGCATCCCTTTCAATAGACTAAGATGATATTCACTAATTATCCGTAAAGATTGTTTGGTTCACTGATTGATTGTTTTATTGATCAGGGCGGTTTACATATTTAAAAATATTATGAATAAATGTACATCAAGCAGGTTTTACGCTGTATCTGAAGTGAAACCTCTTAGCATTCTCATTAGTTGTATGTTTTTTATAAATGAATTTTAGGCTGGTCGCTGAGCTACCATCTCCACCTCAGCCTGAGCCCACACAAACGCAGACCGAAACCTTACTCGAGGTCCAAGAGGTCGCTGCCTCTGATGATACTAGCTCTAAGCCAGTTCCTGAGGCAAACAAGAGAGATAAGGCAGAATCACAAACTGCTTTTTGCGATGAACTTCATCACGAACTGATCATTTGTTCAGAGGAACAAGTCAAGATCTTTCTTCTGCCTTCATTGCGAGCAAAGTGCAAATATAAGTTGATTTCTCCCAGTCCAACTGGTTGGCAGAGGCGGCATGTGACCAAAGATGACAAGCGCGAGCCCGTTGATGAGAAGGAATGTGTTCCTGAGCCAGTCAAAGAGTCTTTAAGTAGCGAAACTGCTATGGTTGATGCTGCGGCGGATGCAGAAGAGAATTTGACAGAAAAGGTAGATTTGATTAATTTCACGACTCATTTATTCTTATCCTGTCTTATCACTTGTCTATAATCTAAATATCGATTTCGATCGTATAGTCCTTATTTTCATTAGTTAGGTTTAGGATATTTTATAATTACTTGTACATTCTTTCAAGGTCGAGCCAACAACTACTTTGATTGCTACTGTGTCTGCTCGACGCGATCGCCGTGTCAGCTCATTTGGTCTCCAATCGTTTCTCCAGCATCATGTTCAAGGCAACGCCGACCCATCTTCGGTCACTGCCGAATGGAGCATCGTTCTTACTTTGACCGACGGGCACGTAATTATTCTTTCGATCCCACATTTGCGACGCCAGCTTAAGGGTATGACTTGACGCAAATTTATATTTCATTTTTAATATCCTATCTTTACTCCCTTTTTACGTCATTTATCAATGATTTCGATTTTTAATGATTGCCATAATTATAGCTTCTGAGTTTGTCATGCTTGTTTGCATGTTTTGGGATGTTGAGTATT